TTTCACAGCTCGTCACGAAAATGATTTCCAACAGCCTGTTGCATACTTTTATAAATAGCCGCTTCCTTCGCTGGCTCCATACTGAAGATCAAATGGCCAGCTAGCCAGAAAGCATTAATAACAAGAAACTATGTCTGGGAACAAACCAGCCAAGAGCCAAATACTCAACAAATATGTCGGAGAAAGTGGAGATGGATCAGACATAGATTGAGGAAACCGTCAAGTTGCATCGCGCGCCAGGCCACTGCTTGAACGGAATTCAAATATGAAGCGACGAGTGGGTCGTCAGTGTGAACGTGACATGGAGGAGATCGTTTGGGGAGGAAGAAATGAGAGAGTTTGGTCAATCGTGGACCCAACTGTAGAGAATGGCAGAAAATAGAAGGAAGTGGAGATGTGTTGTTTAAGCCATATGTTCCACTCAGAACCTAAGGGAATAATAATAATATGACCTGAGATACTTTTATCGAATTTAACTTACGCTAGTAGGTCAAGCATGTGTTCGATTTAAATCCAATGGAAACCAACTTTATCCACGTGCACATGCTATTCGCTCACTCATTTCAGTTATTTTGAAACGTCATCTAGTGGAGATAGAGTCTGGATGGTATATATAAGTAGCTTAATACAAAAAATGTAATGGATGATGGCTAAATGTGAAAGGACGCAGATCTATAGCCTGAGAATTGTTAACGCAGCCTTCCACTAACTGACTCATAGGTCTCAACTTCTAATCAGGTCATTGTTACACCTCTAATCATCACTCATCACATAAGTAATTTTTTACTGAAAGTTCGTGAATGGCATGACACAAAACTGTTGTTACAAGTGACGGCGCTTAACTTATTCGGTAGATGTATGTCAAAGTAAAATACACACTACCAAGACAAGGAATCGACTGTAGCAGCATTTACAGACAACAGTTCAAATATTTACCGTCAACAATTCGGTACATATGACAAGTTATACAATTTAGTCAAAATCACCAACTGATGCTTTAGCTAAAGGCAAAATATTGCACAAACACAATCCTTAAAAACTGCAATACATTTAAAAACCTTTATTTCTACTATTTAAATGTATGTTTTTTTCAAATTTTGCGGGTAACCTTTGTGTTTTAATGCATAGACCAGCAGAAATACTGGTGAATTTCAAATTAAAGACGAAATTAAAATAGTTTCTTTGTTTAGTGTAAAAAATTACTTGCCCTTGCTAATTTCTACAAAAAGTACACATAGTACTCATAGAATGTATAATAAGATGTGAACATTTAAACACATGATGGATAATGACCTCAAGCATTTTGAGATCTGAGTAGAAATCTTCGAATGATTGTTTTTAAAGTGTACCATGAATATGGATTTTAAATTTGATAGTGAACACTATAGAAAGGTGGATAGAGTGACAGTGGGGACTTTATGGGGTCCAATATTAGCAGATGTCTTTCTGAGTAAACTAGAAAATGGCTCTTCGATGAGATTGAAGACGAAACTAAAGTTGTATGTGCCACATTAATTGAAAATAGTTACCATGAAAAGTCCATCACTGAACAAATGGCCAAGAAAGTAGAAAAGAATTCTTCTGTGTCTATTAAAAAGGAACCTTTGTATATATACGACTACAATTCAAAGGAGATATACCTGGTGAAATAATAACCAACAACTTGAGAAACTCTTTTCAACGAACCTTCAATGCAGGAAGGCTGCAGCTTATACTTTCTACACAACTATTTGTGATTAAGAAACTGAAAGACGAAGTAACTAGGCTCATCACCACCTAATTGTATCTATCAATCTAATAACTGCTCCTGTGGAACTAGTTATATTGACCGCTGTTCTAGGAACCTACTTTTTTGGTCTAGGGAACACCTACCAGTGTCGTTAAATAAAGGTGTTGTGGAAACCGTCAACATGTCTATATTGGACTACCTCATCCAAATTGGCTTCAAAACATTAACACTGCAGAATATTTCTCTACCATCCACCGGGTATCAAATTAATTACCAAAGGTCTGTAGATTCCAAACACTCCCAACAGCAGAGGCCATTGAAATTCACCCAAAAGCACACGAGTTCTATGTGCGAAAGAGGCAGGTCCAGACACTATTACTATCCTGGCCTGCTGTCAAGCGTATAAATTCAATAATTCTGTGTTACTTTCCTTAATTTACCTGATATTTCATTTTGGTGTTGATTGTCTTGATTAAATGTAATTTAGAATATTGATGTAGTTAGTAACAAACAATACCTCTTTAATTATTACAGTCACATAAATATAGAACCTGATGATGAATTTATCTACGAGAATATTCTTTGTTCATTAATCAATATTTTGATTTATTTTTATGGGTATCTTCAATGTAATAAATGACAACCAAAGAAGATGTGGAAAGAAGGCAAAGTATCCGAGGATTGGAAGAAAGGATACTTATTCAAACTACCAAAGAAAGGAGACTTAAGTCAATGCAAGAACTGGCGCGGAATTATGCTCCTGTCCATCCCAAGCAAAATACTGATCCGCATCATCCTGGAGAAAATCAAACAAGCCCTGGATGAAAAACTTCGACCGGAACAGGCTGTATTTATCATCAAGTGACATCACTAGACAAGCCATTGCTCCAGTGGAACCCGAAAGGGAAGCGGCGAGTTGGTCGTCCAAAGGTGACTAGGAGGAGGTCATGTGAAGAGGAGATGAAAGCGTGTGAGCAGACTTGGAGCCAGGTGAAAACTCTAGCAGGGAACCGAACGCAATGGAGACGCACGTTTGAAGCCCTATGTTCCTCTAGGAATTAAAGGAAACAATAATAATAATAATAATAAAGAAATATTTCCTGAGACACAGAGAGGAGAAACAGTAAAAAAAAAGTGGAAAACCTAATAGCCGGCATTGTGTAGACATACACATTTATACATTTATACAATTATGCGAAAATTCTGCAAAACATTACAAATATTCATTAATGAGTCCCATGGTAAAGCCGCCTAACTTGACAACTTTCAGGCTGTCAGTTAATATGTTTTAAATTGTGAGTTAAGTTACTTAGAAAAGTAATGTATTTCCATTGATTGTAAATTATCACAGCATAGGATGTTTTATGGTTCAATTTTTAACAAACGAGGAACTTTAAGATATTTTAAGCTTTTTATTTTATCCTGTTTTTTTTAGTTAATGATATTTTCGTCCAGTTATTTAGGAAGACAGATAAGAGCACTTCAGAAATTGAGATATATTCCCTTCGGGTTCACAATCTTCTACAACTTAGGGGACCTAAAACCACTTTATCCGTCATTTTTCGACAGACTGTTATATTAATTTTATCTTTCTAGTTAACAATTTTAGTTTAGTAAGAAATTCACAAATTAAATCTATGCACCACGAGTCAAGATGCCGTATTTTAACAAACTAAACGAAGTATTGGTTTTGTAGGGATTTTGTTTGATTGCATGGAGGATTTCATCATGAGCTGACATCAGTTAGAGAACCACTGGAAAACCTGGGAGTACTGGACATTTGTTTCGTCCTAGTTTGGGACTCTTCATCAGTACTCGCCCACCGAAGTTCAAACCTAGGACCTTCTGGTTACAAGGCGAGCTCGTAGACCATTGAGCCACTGGAACCCGAACCAATGGTCCTTGAATTCTAACTTCTGCGAATTCACGACATAGCACGACCATTTCCTCTACGAGCTCGCCTTGTAACAAGAAGGTCCTGGGTTCGAACTCCGGTGGGGGCGTACTGATTAAGAGTTGCAAACTAGGGTGAAACAGCTGTTCAATACTCCCAATTTTTCCAGTGGCCCTCTAACTGATGTCAGCTCATGATGAAATCCTCCATGCAATCAAACTAGACGAAGTTTAAACATGTTAGATGGTCGAACGCAATCGACAGGAAGTCTTCAATCTAGGCTCTATGTTTGTAAGTTCCCGTCAGCGAAACGTATCTGCAGTCTTGAAGGAAATCATATCCTTTCTGAGATTTGACCCCGTGTCACCCAGTAGGGCAATCACAGGCGTTACTACTGAATTACTCGAACTCGTGATTGACCTCCGCTACGAATGTAATGGAGACTTTGACTGGCCGCTTGATAGTAACCAACGTCATGCATCCAGCACTTAGTTTGCTTCAGGTTGAATTCTGTCAGTCAGTTTTGTAATGTAATCACCAAGCTAGCTGGCGAAACGAAGCCTAGGTTTAGGGCTTCTTATCGATTTCTTCCAATCATCTAACATCAGTTCACAGTGTACCATAATAGCAAGCTATCTAGCTTGCTGACCATATTTCAAACTTAACTGATGCTACCTATTGGTCCTTCAAATTAATTTAAATATATATATATATCTCAAAAGTAGGGTCAAATTGTCTCTCCTTTTTAATGAAATACACACTGAGTAGTCTTGAGAAAGAAGAAAGGCTACAAAGTGAATAGCTCAGTTAATCTATAAAGTGAAGGCAAGCCATATACTCCAAGGAGTAGGAGGATACTTCAAAGGAATGAAGGAAGTTAACCTAATTCATCATCTCAATATGCTGTTTCACACTTGAAATTATTAATTATTTGGTAAGAATATACAACCCTCTAAACTGAGATAAATGTCATTTCATTAAATTTCTGGCAATGATTTATTAGTCCCGTTTTCAAACTCTGCTTAATATTGGATAGTTGTCAATTTAGAAAGTTCCTCTTTTGCTCTCTGCATTCATCACTCATTAACTCAATACATCTGCACCTCAAAGAATACATGTATTCTTACTGAAATCTAAACACCGTCACCAGTGTGCTATCCAGTGACAGGAGCTATTTCGACTTAACTTGTAAGTGTCCTCCTTTTTGTTCAGTTTGTTGAAGTGAATACTCCAACTGTTTAAATATATAAATATTTAAATTATGTAAAATGAAAGCAAAAAAAATCAAAATTCACATTCATTTCCTTGTCAGTGCACATGCAATTAGCATAGTGAATTCAAAAAGTTATTGTAGAAGATAAATTTTGAAATGCTAACCTGAGGATGACTTCGTATATTGTCTTCAAATGCCTCTATGCTTCTTTTTGAACGTCTATGGAATCTATACGGAGGCCATACATCATCAAGACATTGTGGTGAAGAAACTTCGTACACATTTGCAAAATGAAGCTAAATGTTTGTATTCAAGGTAAAATTAAAATGGAATTAACATTATTGTTGTCATTATATAAATGGAAATTACTTTTTAGTTTGTTGTCAGAACATCCAAAACTGGTCAAGAGATTCATAAAACTTGTTATCACTGAATAGATTCCTTGCCTTAAATTGACTTTTCAGAAGTAATTGCCTTATAAGCAAACAGTTTTGCAGAAATCACTCAAATTAATGACACTACGTCGGTGGCACAGCAGTAGAAGGCTCACCAACCGTGCAGGTAGTTCCCGGTTTGATTCCCGGCTGACGCACTCCTTTACCTCGTTAAGCCCGTAATAAGACTGGTAAGGAGGCAAAATTGAACATGAAGCTAGCAACCCCATCTCTTAAAAATAAACATTACCGCTACCGAAACTTCAAAGCTCTAACCCGAAAACCCTGTGTTCCACTGGGAAAGTAAAGGAATAAAAAAAACAATAATTGTACTTTTATTGAAGGTTAGCTTCTTTAAGTGTTAGTGAGAAGGCGAAACTTATGTAACCAGGAAAGTCGCAACTTTGATCCCCAGGAATTTTAATCTACAATAAAAATTTGACTGAAGAGTGAAAACACAACAATCAGTTAAATGTTGACATATTCATTGAGATAATTGAGATAACCATAAGCTTTATTCTGTTCTAATTACAGGAAACTGACATTATGAAACACTTATGCAGAACTCTTTATTTGTTTGTTTGTTTTTTTACTTGATAAACAAACAAATGTTCAGTGAATCTGTAACCATTGTAGCGCAACGGTCATACTACGTAATCGCTAAGCTAAACGACACGGTAGGGCCCTTTTGATTGTTGTACATGTGTCAGTTATCATAAAACCTAGAAGCTTGAACTTTGATGAGCCGGCTGGCATTTACATCAGATGAGAACTGCTTTCATAGTCTGAGGTGAGAATTTGACTAATTAATTAATAAAACGATTATAAGTTAGAATTTCTTTAACTTTACTACTAATCCGCACGCTATTGAAAAGCACTGGTGTTAAGAAGCATTGTAAGAAGTAATACTAAGAATACCTCCAGAGGTTCACTATATAGCATTTTTAAGTCCAGCAGGCTTTGACCACTATTCTATTACAGTTTCTAATAAATTCTTTCATGGAGAATCACTTATAATGTCAAATACTTTTTGCTACTGTTTCGTCTAACTCATGTAAGTGAAATAAAATTACCTTCATTTCTGTACAAGTGGTTAAGTAGTAGTTATCAGGGGTAGCATTGAAGTCAAACTTGTCATAAATGAATCTGTCCATATAACAGGCTCAATGAAGTATGTATTCTTTTTGGACGGTACCAAATTCTTACCAAAGTATATCTAACCATTATGAAACGACAATCAGTAATAGCTATCCATTTATAAAACTTGTATTGTGAAATTTCAAGGGAAGAAAACTATTACATACCAGAAGATACAATGCGGTACTCTTTTAGAAGCACTTATATGGTTGTAGCCAAGAAGCAGAACCGAATGAAGTGAAATTGTATGTAAGGGAATCTTATTTATGTTTTGCAAACTTTTTTTCTAAACCTGAGTTCATATTTTCTTCTTTTACGATGATTCACTGGAACTTAAACAACTTGCATGCCTACATCAATTCGCAATTTATTCTGTCACATATTTTCTCTACCCTTAACACTGTCACTTAAAAGTCATGTAACTTTACAACTGGCGAAAACAACTATTTATGGATATGTTAAATATATCACCAACAAGTTTTCATCATACAAAACTGCAAATTATTGGTATTTTACTATTCTTTGGATAAATTTCACTATGTAAGCAACTATATTCCTCTTTATTGTCTACATTTGGGTCTTCTGATGCATCCATTTTTACCTACTTACTAGTGCAAATTTTGAAATCCTTATAGCTGTTAGAGTAAATTTTCCTTCTAAATACTTGCAGCTGTCTTTACCAGAAAAGTTTCACAGTGCGACACTGGTGACAAAATATATGTTCTTAGAGTCGAAATGCTTGACTGTTTAAAACGCCATTTTATCCACAAGGTTTGGATCCTAACGGATTCCAGGGTCATAAAGAGACTGGAGATATAATTAGGTGGTAAACAAATTCATGGTTTTAGCGTGTGTGAACACAATATGTCGATCTTAGGCGGTTAGACAAGCTGAAACCGGTAAATATGCCAAAGTATAATGAATCACAAATCATCATGTTTCATTCTGTCGCAACATACGTTTACATGTAACTATATTCTCAAAAATGATGAAATAGGTTACATTAATAATGACTTATTTTTTTGTGCAACTCATGGGTTAAACACTAATGACTGGAGGAAACGGTGGGAAAACTCTAAACTCGATTTCATTTGAATATAAATCCCAACAAATTAAACATCCCTATTTCTTGGCAAATCCTGTGAAAAAAATCAAGAATTTCCCAAAAAATAGTCTAGGATGCTTAATATAAGTTTAGCCTAACTTTGACGGAAAACGAAACTACAAAGATAACATTTAGGACAGTACTTTCTATTAATCGAAATCACTTATAACATATCCTAAGAGTCATATCCTTAAATAACTGTTTTGCCAAATATGTCTATAAATCAAAGGGTAGCTTTTAGAAACTTACACTTAGGTGTATCAGATAAGTTGTTATTTGTGACTGACTTTATATAACAAGGCGACACCAAATATTGGTTTCAACAAACAAATCTTAAGAAAGTTGTCGTAAAGAATTATAAATTAAATTTGGAAACCGGAGTTAAACTCCAAAAGCCTTTCAAGCAGTGAGAATTTGTAACTAGCACTTTTGCACACTGTTTGGGTCCTCCTACTGCAATTTTGCAGATAGTGTGCAGAACCAAAACTCGGATCAGGATTCCTCACACACCAGCTGGAACAGTTCTACTAAGTTGACAGGTGTAAGCACGATGTTTTCTTCAGCTATTTATAAATGTCTCACCAGAGAAAATTATTTACTCTTTATTTAGTTTTATTCAATCATACAAACAGGTTCAAAGTTAGCGTTTTCTGAATAAGTGAAAACTACCAGAAATATAGATTACGAACCTTTCCGGTTACTGCACCTCCGAAATAATCAACGAATGATATAAGTTCACCCTCAGGAAGATTTGTCTCGATTGCGTAGTAATGACTGCATGATAGGAAGACAGTTGGGACATTGTATAAGAGTATTATAGCCAAAAACACCAAGCACTTAACACGATAAATCATTGAACAGATGAATAAGTGCAAGGATATAGATTGCAAAATGTGAAGTAGTAAAACAAAACTAATTTGTGTCGTGCTTTCTCATTTTAATTTAGGAAGAAGTAGGAATATACATTATAAAGGGTCTTAAATCTTCAGATTTTATAAAATATGCTGCACTGACACTAAAAAGTAAATATTTGCATATCATGTTAACAAGTCTTTGGAAATGTATTCACGGAAGACTGTGGTTAGGAAATAAACTTAACATGATGATAAGTTTATTGAATGATTGTTGGGATGTGCATAACACAACAGTAATTTTTACTGTATCTACTGATCGTCGTCCAACTTGTCTGTACTAATTTGATACACACTGGAAGCAGTTAGCTATGTTAGCAACGACCACACCTGGTAGTTTTGAATTCAAAGTATACCTGAGGAATAAGACTGACAGACCAATATATGCTCTTAGCAGTCAGTGAGCGTACGCAATCAATGTACCACAACATGACAGTGGGTATTTAATCGAACACCTTTAAATCAACTACTTGACTGAAATCAAGACAGTCAGTAATTATTCGTGAATGTTGATGAAACTGCAGGTTGTCGATTTTCTGGGTTTGTTAACCGAAAGTAAACGAAGTTGGCCACGATAACTGGCTTCTAGTGAGATGCATTTCGCCGCCTTACTTTCGGAATTCCCAAACAAGACAGCCGCGTCTTAAATGTGAATGCAGAGTAGTTGGGGACCTTCAGATGCAAAAAATGTAACGGTAGTATATTCGACAGTGGACGATTATACAGATACTTCAGACTTCAGTAACTTCCTACATATTCTAAATTTTCTCAACGCATCAGCACAGACGGATAAATTTAAGCATTATTATGTTTCAAAAGATGATGGATGATAATAATAATAATTATATTAACGTTTATTCTCAGTGTTTTGTACATGAGGAACCGGTTTGCAGATATCAACAATGTGTGGCATACAAGCTGTTCTTTTGGCATAACATAATTTTGTAAGCAATTCACATATTTCACGACATCCATACACTCTACTTTCATGTAATGCTGAGCATTATCTGGCGAGTAAATACTATCGGAACATGGAAATCACCTACAAATGGTGACAGCCTCCATGAGGACAAAAGTTATATTTCGATATCTTTCATCATTCATTGTTTTAGGTATATGAGGGTAAGCTTTGCTTGTTGAAACTAATACCTATAATCTCCGTCGAAATAGTCTTCTGTAAGTTAATGAAGTAACTGATACACTCTTAATTTCTGTTTCTCCAGGACTTCTTCAACGCGTAGCTTTAGTACGGCTTATTGTAGTGTGGGAAGTTGGATTAATGCGGGTTAAAATAAGTTGATACGATTTTGTATCTGTTTTTACGCAACACTACATTTTGCACACTAAGTGGTATTTAGCAAGTCCAATGATAACGCTATGCTGTCGATATTCCAGAGCCACCTTATATAGCCAGATGCGCATATGCACACCGCTAGACGCCAAAGGTCTGTTGCTGCATGTCATACAAGCAAATATAATAACTTGGAGTTAAAAGTTCCTTTATTAATCTGCTTATGTGGCAACAACAAATATGGACTGCTCACTTGGCAGTGAGCTAAACAACATTTTTTGCTTCTCCCTGATGTACCGATGAATCACGTGATTTCAAAAAGTATCTATCACTTTTATGACAAATAACCGCAGCATTCGAATATTTGCCTTACTGATATGAGGCTCCTTATGGATGTATGCAATTAATCAGAACCAACGAAGCTAAATGACTCCACTTTGTCCTGCTCGAAGCGTTTTTCTTGCTCTAATCACGAATATATTACGTCTCACAGATCTCATCACACTGCATACTGGTCTTAAGTACACGCTACATGTAAGCATCAGAAATATGAGCAGAGCTTATCAAAACAAACGCTTGTACTTTACGGAAGACATATTCAGCTATTAATTGCCTCCGCAGGTCATATGCCGATAATTTCATCTTATGACAACCAGTAGAAGCTGAAAACATCTCATGTGAATGGTTCGAGTGGATACGGAGTAATCCTAATCTAACATCATGCAGTTAATTGGTTTTACGCCTACCCATTAAAGTACGCAAGAACTACTATTTAACCAGCTGCAGTGCTTAAAATATCTAGACGTAATCAGAGTTCGCAGCTTAGTCCTATCATTCATCAACTAAAAATTCATAGCCACTTTAAAACAGTTTTTTCACAATTAAACCTCCTTACACACCTACTTTGAAAAGCAGGTTACTGTTATTTTAGAACTACTAAGTGAGAGTCGATATCCCGAGAGCTCTTTTGACAAAAAGATTATCTCGCCAACAAAGAAAGTAAACATGTCCAAACCATCAGGAACGCGGTTCGAGTTATCTAACCTACTACCACAGCACCTCAATCGACTGACCATTCGAAATTGATTACAAGGAAAAATAAATCTACCGAAGACAGCGGGCTTCTGATCTCTAGATATCACAGACTACAATGAGAAAAAAACTACAACCACAATATTATAACTGCAGGAGCATAACACCCACTTCAAGCAAGATGCTCATGGCTTACAGCCGCCAAACTACGTCACCATCTGTTCTTCTGTTCATGTCAACAAAAGTTTAACCAGCTACCATTAGAAAAGGAAGACCACTGGTCACAGGAAAATTTATTTTAAGTGAATATACGCGAGCTAGGAAACGCCAAAAAATTGCGAATATGTGAAAAACAAGAAGTGAACAAAAGACAGAGTTAAGCGGAAGACTTCTGCCATCCCAGACAAAGTATTCGTGAGCACGACAGAGACTAGGAATCAAATATACAACTTTGAGAATGAATTTATGTCGTAAACGCGTGCGTGTCACCGGTGAGCGAACAATGCATCTAGATCCAGCAAATTAAGCATCAGTATATCAGTGGTATAGCCGTAGAACGCTCACCAACTATGCACACGATCCAGGGCTGGAACTCAGGCTGCTGCACTCCTAAACCTTGCTGAGCCGGTAGTAGAGGACGTTATCAAGGAAGCTTTGATATGAGGTTAGCAACCCTATTCCGTAAAGATAAAATCACTGCTACCACAACTTCACAACTTTTTGTTGAAGCTCTATGACCACTCAGAACTCACTATATTAAGCACTAGCAGCCATAGATGACACACCCTCATCGCATATCATCAAACTCAGGAGTCTTAGCAATAGAGCCGTTTCCCACAGATAAGTCCCCACCATCATATCCGATGAATAGCAGCCACCACCCTCCAACCTTTTAGTGTGCTTGGCCCCGGCAAAATACTGCTATGTGTCACAGACTGCTTTTGCATTCACTGGCTTAGTCAACGAAACTCATGGTATGAACGATTACTTTCAGTCGGCCACTTTGTATTTACCGTCTCTAACGGCATTTAAAGAACATATGAGTACAATAAAGGCGTAAAGAAATCAGAAGTTTGCAGTCTACCTTCTAGATTTTAGATATAAACATATGAAAACGAAGGGGCAAAATGAAAAGGTATGAAAAACACTACATGAAGGTACATCATTATACATATATATGCGTAGAAAGAGACTTTAGTTAATTATAACCAATGAATCATAAGAATTCGACTACACAAGATTATGGCAACAGAACAACAAAACAAAATCTGTTAATATTTAAGAGTCACAGAGTAGTTAAGCTGATTATGTAGACTATCTCCGGTGGGGCTGGAATTTGCGTAGACGTAGATGGTATTTACCCATGGCATTAGTTAGTCACCAAAGGAGATTTTAATCCCGGCCATATCCAAGTTTTTACCATTCAACCTTGAGGTAGAATTCTTACCACACTGGAATGCTCATAATACAGAGTTGCCAGGGATATTTGCTATAATATTTGATCAACTTAACAGTCAGCAGCCGGGATTAAATGGAGTTGAATGACTGCAAAGGTATGACAAATGAGGCTAGCGGAGTTTTTCAGGCGATGGAGATGTGTTTGCAGAGAGGGTAGTTCATGTAGATTTGGTGCAGCTTTCGTGGTGAGTATGTTAGGTTACGTATTCCAATCCAGGATTGCATGAAAAGATTGTGGATTTTGAGATGAGGCTCGTTAAACAAATAATTGAATCGACTAAAAATGGAAGTGAGAACAGCATTAGTGTAACGTTGATTATAATAAATAAGTATGACAATTGTGACGGTTTCTGTTAACGCGTTGAGTGAACAGAGCTGTTTAGGTGATAAACAATATCTCGAATTTTCATCATATGGTAAACTATGTCAAGATTGTTTTTGGAGAAGTAATTATTCAGTAGATAGGTGAATCGTTTTATCGGCTTCCCGGTTTTGATTTCACTTAGCAAGAAGTTCCATATTTGACTGTATTTAACTGTAAAGAAGTTAGGAGACTTTGTTCGAAAAAGAATATGGTTTAGAGAGGACCCATTGCTGCGTAATTCACACGTTGAAGAAGTAAAGTAAAGGTTATTATTGGGAAAGCACACTATTCTTTTGAGAATTTTAAAAAGGAGAATGATATTAAGTCGTTGGCGCCTGAACCAAATATGTTCGATCTTAATAGTTGTGTGACGACAGCTGTAGGGAACTTTCAGACTTCCTCCTGAAATTCTACTTGTAAATCTAATTCGGACAATTTCAATCTTAAGTTTTTCCTTAACAAAGGTGCTATCTAGGATAAACGGACGGCACTCAAGGAGGGGTCGTGTGCGCATTTTACACAGTAGCATTTCCGATTCTTGGGCTTGAAAGCTATGAAATATAAATCCAGGTAATGTTCTGGCTTTAGAAACTTGGTTGGTAACATAGAGAGAGAATTTGAAGTCAGCAGAGTAATGGAGCCCGAGGTCAAGTACGGAAGGAAAGATTGTGATTGGCTTTCCGTATATAGTTACGTGTGGTGCGATGCAAAGGCAAGCTGAGTACAACAGACCACACTCCTCCATGTTGATGTGCATCATCCACGTCTTCCACCAAGTCTCATTATTATCAATATCCG